AGCGTTAGTTCTGGCAGGTCACGTGAGTCAAGCTTGCATCAGCTGATTCTCAGCTGATCACATCTACCTATAGGAATACGACACCTATCGCAGCATTCCTATATAAGCTCTATTCAGTATTATTCTGCAGCTTTTCAGCTTGCTCAGGAGCAAATTACCCTCCTCCATCCCCAGCTCCTCCTTTCGCCACAGTCAGGACTTGGCTTTCTGATATTCCTTGCTAATCGGACTCCTTTATCTTGAATAAAGTGTTACACTTAAATATTAAGTACATTAATGATATCTGCCTTGTTCTGTTCTGTTAATCCTAGGGGGGTTATTCATGACAGGCTGCATGGATGGGTAGGGAGGTTTTTGCCCAGAACAGAACCATACCGCCAAACCAAACTTTATGCTAAGTATCTATCATTTTGACGATAGTGGTCCTGACAGAAATGTATTTTAAGTGCAGTTTCTTGTTCTTAAAAATGCCTAAATGGCTATAGTTATTTTATCTTGCTACACTTTTGTAATTAATCATAACACTACTATAAAAATGGTTGTCGAATCTCTTGGCATAAGCAGTGACAAAAATATATTTTACATTTTAGTGATTTTCCTGCATATAATTTTTAGCAGATTATTTTGTAATTCATGACTGTTCAATCCATAAACTATTGGATTCAGAAGTGGGGGCACTAGAAAAATTAGCATTCCCATAATCTTTTACAGATTGGCGTTTACATTTGAGAACCTGTGTGACTATAGAAAATAGAAAAAGATCTACATACTTTAACTCAATCAGTACATTAAATTTGAGGCTACTGCAAATATTAATAATATGAAATACTTACCCTGGCATATATTTGCTAGGCCATTGAGACTTTTTTTTTTTTACGAACGCCAGACCATTTCATCACCTTAAAATGTCTGATTGATGAGACCTATGGGAGAGACTATTAATGGCCTCTAGTTTTGTTTTGTCACTTATAATAAACCCTTTGATAATAAACCTCTAGTGCTTCAAGAAAATTCACCAGTTATCCAACAGCCTAACTACAAACACTGTTGCTAATAAAACCTTGGGGATTTATGTCTCACAGCCTATTCTTGCAAGTGTTCTCAATCTCAATCATTTTTTAATCATACACTCTTAAAAATAAAGGTGCTTCACGATGCCATAGAAGAACCTTTTTGTCTAAATGGTTCCATAAAGAACCTTTAACATCTGAAGAACCTTTCTGTTTCACAAAAGGTTCTTTGTGGCGAAAGAAGGTTCTTCAGATAACAAAAAATTAAGAAAGAGATGGTTCTTTAAAGAACCTTTTGACTGAATGGATCTTCTATAGCATCGCTTCAAGAACCTTTTGAAGCACCTTTATTTTTAAGAGTGTAACCAAAACTTCTTAAACAACTGAGGCTTTCTTACCTAGAGAACACTTTTTTTACAGTTTAGATTTTATTAAATATTTCTATCATGAACAAAGACATGTCATTGTCAGACCTTCAGTTAACAAATTTGGTTGTAATGAGAATGCAGAGCATGAACAAATTTAGTGAGAGTCACTGAACTATCTCGGTTACATATCTATAATTCTGTATCAATAACCCCATTTTACTGCACATTTTGGACATCTCCTTTCTATAACAGACTGATTCAATTAATATTTTTTTTAGTACATTAGCATAGAGCTCCCTGACCTTGATTTGGGAGTGTCAAATTAGTTAGACACATTAAATGTGCCATAATGTGAAACACAGGTCTATAGGAATCCAGAATTCTCTAGACCAGTGGTTCTCAAACCTCTCCATAAAGTACCCCCAGCACTGCACATTTTGTGTCTCCCTATATCTGACAAACCCACTTCAGGTCTTGCAGTCTCCACTAATGAGCTGATGAGTTGAATCAGGTGTGATAGATGAGGGAGACATACGAAATATGCAGGGCTGGGGGTACGCCAGGACAGGTTTGAGAACCACTGCTCTAGACTTATGTCAATGTACCATGAAAACACTGACCCTACTGGGACTAGAGACCAGAGAGGAAACATATTAATTAAGTCTGTGAAACATTGGTCAAGGGAAAGCTGCGGTGAGTTGATTAAGACTGTAGAGACCAAGGGCCTGAATTAAGTGAATTAAGCCTCAGGTCACTTTAAATGCTGTAGAGTTACTGGTAGCATAGCCCAGGTTGCCCCTACTGGTGGAGTCTGTAACTACACCTACCCCTACAACAATTAAAAATTGCCATGTGCTTTGATGAAATGCTTTGTTTTATTCATAACTGACTTTTGGAGTGGCTTCTTAGTAACAGTGTAAAACAAACGGTGTTTCCTGTCTGCTGCAAGGAGTCATACAGAGGGATCAGTCACATGATTGACTCAAAAGATGTTAGTGATTATGAAGTAAAGCATTCAAGACATTTACCAGACCATGTCTGCAACTGAGTTGAATAGGAATGCAAACAAATTGCCCTGTCGAAGTACATTAGACCTCTGTGAGTGGAACTAATTGTTTCTAAATGTTAAAGTCATGTGCATTTATACAGTAAGTGCTGCATGTAGGCTTGTAAAAAGTCTTATTTTATGGAATTTCTGAAAAAAAATAATGAACATTTGGATCATTTCAAGTATTGTAGGGAGGATCGTTTTACAAGGAAAAGCAATACATGACTTCATTAAGTCATTTTCTGCAGTATTTTCAGTAAACCTCTTGAGTGAATTAGAGTCCAGGGAACACAATAATTGGCCCTCTTGGATCTCTTGGCCTGCATTGTTTTGTTGTTACTGTATCTGTTTGCAGCAAGATTATTGCCATAACTGTTCCGTATGACTGTATGGCATTTCTAACATACAAAAAATTGCAATGTACAAACAAAAGTATGAAAATAAAACCATTTAATAATATAAACTAGCAACAACACTGTGTAACATCATCACTTGACTTGAAAATGTGTGCCTCAAACTATTCAAACATTCAAATTATTAAAACAATTCAAATGTTCAGCCTAACAGTCATAAAGGGCGAATCATAAAATATAAAAATACAAAAAAAAAGTATTTTGGGTTGTACATTAATTCATCATTTGTGGTGATGTTTTCAATCATTGTCAAACGTCTAATCTTCAGTCACATTTTCTCAACAAAACATACGCCTATTTAGTTCAGATTATTATTTTGACAATCTTTTGCTTATTAAAATATTAAAAATTACGACATTTATACAATTTTAAAACCCTTTTGTAATGTAATATTGTGGAATGGAATATCTTGCATTGATTAATATTCAACAATAATGAGGTGAGTATTATCTCATTCTTCAGCGTCCTCTAGCGGCAGTAGTTTGCTATTACAAGTTAGTTTTTGGTCAGGTTACTGGTGATTGTCTTGGGTTCACTCTTTTTTTTTTTCTTGCCTGTTAATATGAATTTCATGAAGTTTATAACTTTTTTGTTTTTGTTTTTACTTTTTTAGTGATTAGCTTGTTCTGACACTACAATAACATCATGTTGGGTGGTTGGTACATTTACATAATTCATGGACAGCTTTGTGTCTTCAGAATTTAGCAGAAATCAATATATGCTTCTGTATGCCATGCCTATCACCCTTGTTGTCACTACTACAGGCCTGCAACTTTAAGAAACAGGTAATGGCCACGTTGTAATCTGAGCAAGGCTTGAATAAATTATGGAGCAGTATCTGGGTTCACTATTGCCACGGTTGTTGCTGTTTGCATTTCCAAGGGCAGAAACCAGCTGAACAAAGATAATCAAGCTGAAAGACGTTTAAACAGCATCCTGCTATTAATAAACCTAAGGATGAATCCTGAGTAGTAAGTAGTTTTGGCTATCAAGATTGCTTGTCTACATTATTGCGGTGCTAGTTTTTTTGTTTACAGTAAATTGTGTTGCTAACCGTCGACAGACTTTTTTAAGTTGCAATGAATAGAGGAGGCCTCTAATTTGTGCCATTAATATTAGTATTATCAATTTTGCCCAAAAATAATAGGTAAATAAAAATGCAGCTTAAATTGAGCATGAATGCCAGTACAGTAACATGTTAGTAATATTATAATGTTTTTCTCAGTGACTACCTGTTCAAGTTGCTCCTGATTGGGGACTCTGGTGTGGGAAAGTCATGTTTACTTCTACGGTTTGCTGTAAGCTAAATATTTTACCCATAAAATTTTCTGTTTAAAAGTTCTTCAGTGAATCATTTCAAGTAGTTGACCCAAAAAATGTAAATTCTTTCTATTATTTACTCACTATCATGATGTTTCAAATCTATGTGCCGGTTGTTTTTATCAATGTAAAACAAAATGGATTTATTTCTTTTTTTAAGAATCTGTTATGGAAGAAACGAGTTGATAATTCTGTTGATGACACAATTATTCTAACAGGATGACACCTATACAGAGAGCTACATCAGCACTATTGGAGTAGATTTTAAAATCAGAACTATCGAAATGGAGGGGAAGACTGTTAAACTGCAGATTGTGAGTATAGATAGGATTACACACATTTATATACATTTATATTCAGACTTAGTTAGCTGGTTTGTGTCAGGCATGTTGCTTTTTTTTGTTTCATCTACTTGTTAGATCGGTTTTAAACAAACGCTTGTGGAACAAGATGTTTAAAATCTAATTATTTTTGTAAAGTGACAAAAACTGATAATTTGCTGATTAACTGACTAACCACCAGTCACTTAAGTGTTGGCAAAAAGGCCCTAAATGCTTGGCGGAAGAATTATATACTCATTTTTTGCAAACAACACGTGTTATGCTTTTTTGTAACATTTTTTCATGTTTCTCTGTCCTGAAGTGGGATACAGCAGGGCAAGAGCGATTTAGAACAATAACATCCAGCTATTATCGAGGGGCACATGGGATTATAATTGTCTATGATGTCACAGAGCAGGTAAAACTTTTAAATATTGCAAAATGTTATAACATTTTGGGTATAGAGAATGTTTAAAGTACTTTGCTTTTACAGGAGTCTTTCAACAATGTGAAGCAATGGTTAGAAGAAATTGATCGCTACGCCTGTGAAAATGTCTCCAAGTTGTTAGTCGGTAATAAGAGTGACCTTGCTTCAAAAAAGGTGGTAGACTTTACCACAGCAAAGGTAAGCCCTCTGCTAATGCAAACTTATGGTAAAGTCTGTTCTACAGAAATGGCAGATCCAAGCAAATATTTTAACTTTCATTTGCACTGTTTACAGGAATTTGCTGAGTCACTCAAAATCCCATTCCTGGAGACAAGTGCCAAGAACGCAAACAACGTAGAGAAGGCATTTTTAACAATGGCCTCTGAAATCCAGAAGAGGATCGGGACGGACAGCGTCCAGAATGAAGCTGTTAAAATGGGATCCAAAATAAACAGTGCCCCCTTATGGCCTGGTGGAGAGAAGTCAGTGGCTGAGGAGGTCAGCTCTTGTTGTTAGTGCTCAGTATCTTTTAAATTCAGGGTAATATAAGGTAATATTTGTTTATCATTTTATGTGTTTCTCTTTTTCCTTTTTCTTTCTAAATGTAAAATAAGCCATTGATTTAATGTTTCCATGTTCTAATGAGCTAATGAAAGTGGTACATGCCTTTTCTGTAAATCATTTTCTGATCAAGCATGCATTGTTCTATGTTAAGTGCTCTTTTCTCTTTTTGGTGATGGACAAAACCTATTAGCATACACAACCGTTTAAAAGTTAGGGGTTGGTCAAATGTCCTATTCTTAAAAGAATCAATACTATGAAATCTAAGAGAAGTTCAGCTTAAAATATATTTACTTTTCAATTTCTCAAAAAATAAAAATGTATATACAATAAAAAGTAAGCTTTTTCTGAATGTCAAGCAATCTCTCACTGTGCATTGCATATATAGAAGCATTTGCACTGCATACGAATCTAAATAAACACTCAGATCAACCTAATGTGTAAGTATTACATGCGCAGATAAAGCACTGGCCCAAGAGTTGTTGTGCATGACATTACATTATGTCTCAGTGTCACGAAGAAATAAATAATCATGGTCATTATCTCATGGATCTCATTAGTGGAAAAAAAAAAAGGCAAGTAATAATACAATTAAGGATGTAATATACATAATGTGATGGTCATATTTGGACATTTAGCTGAATATATAATATTCATTTTTATGACATTTCAAATTTTTTGAAAGGTGCGCATTTTGATTTATAATAAAAGCTCTAAAAGGGTTCAACTTTTTTAGGTCAAGCATTGCAAGCATTTGAATCAATCAAAAAATGGCACTGAACGTTACCACACAACAAAACAACTCAACTCAAAACAAGCTCAGCTGACAAGATCACAACATAATATTCAATCACTAAAGGTTTTAGGCCTGTTTCACATATCCTGTGGGCTCATTTTGAGCTAAACACTCAAAATTATTTATTGGGTTACTACAATGTAGGAGAAAGACTCTAAAACACAATGCGATGCTTAATTCAAAATACAAGTGAAACACCTATCAAAAATCAATACAGAAAATTCCCTCATATTAACACAGTACACTGGGCTGAATTTTTACAGAATTTTTTACATTAAGTCAGTTTACATTAAGTATTTCCTTTAAAAACAAGTGTCTTTTTTCAAACAAATAGGTCGCGCCATCATTTTATGTTGCTCTAATTCAAAAGCTTCTATTTCAAAAGATTATGTTGATAAGAAGTTATTCTGTTTTCTGCTGATTTCAGCATGTAGTGTTCCAAAAGTTGACTTTCAGTGCTTCTTCTTGGACGCAGAACTGCCAAATGCATTGTGAAAGCTGTTACTTGTTAATATGGTCAGGGTGTGTGAAACGGGCCTCAAACTGAAATTTACAATGAGCTTATATAACAAGAGAAAATAAAAACCATCAATAGACATTACAACTAGGACTTTTTGCCAGTAAATCTAGCCATGTTGGCTAATTTCAGCCTCATGCGTTCCCTCTTTGGATTCCTCTTTGAGGTGCATTCAAGAGTAGAGTCAGTCTCAAAGGAAATGGCTGGGCCATGTGAAAGCAAAGCCATTCTCGTCTTTTCCTCAGACAAGGTGGTTGTGGGGGACTGCAGGACCAGCCTGCTCCGCATTGAGTGTCTGAGGCGTAGCAGCAAAGGGTTGCGTTGAGAATACAGCTCCCTCTCTGGCCTGATGCACAGGAAGCAGGCAGCACACAACATGCGGAAAATGTAGATCCATCCGAGGTAGTGAAGCTCCACTATGTTCAGGAGAAAACAACCCAGGCTAATGCTAAACATAAAATTAAGGAAAATGGTCTTTTCAGTGGCCCGCGACACAAAACAATCAGTCCGTGTCGGACAAGGGTACGTTTCGCATCTAAACAAATGAGGCACCTCAAATCCAAACAGGTAGTACTGACCGACAAGAAACATGATCTCTAGGACGGAGCGGATCAAGATGTGAACAATATAGATGAGGAGAACCTGACTGGAGAGTGTGGTTGGATCCTTGCTGACCTCACCAAAATCATCCTGCAGGAGACTTTGCTCCACGCTTTCTTCATCCTGACCACTCCATTCTTCTCCCTGGTGTCCATATCCCAGTCTGACACCGTCCCCTTCCAGCTGCCCAGAATAGTCTCCCACGGAGTGCTTAGCCGCTGCCTGGACCCTCTCTGTCTCCAGTTTCTCATCTTTGGTGATTTTGTGCAGCACGTAGATGATGTAGAAGATGGAAGGTGTTGAGACCAGCACAATCTGGAAGACCCAGAAGCGCAAATGTGAGACAGGGGCAAAAGTGTCGTAGCAGACGTTGTTGCAGCCCGGCTGCAGTGTATTGCAGGTAAACTTGGACTGCTCGTCGCTGTACACGGCGTCTCCAACAAGGATCACCAGCAGGATGCGAAAGATCAGAAGCACCGTCAGCCAGATCTTACCGATGACTGTCGAATGATTCTGAACCTCTTTTAGAAAGCGGCCCAGAATTGACCAGTCCCCCATTTTTTAATCTGGAGAAATACGGAAATAGTGGAAAGGCAAAGATTTTCTGTTATGTTGTTATCTAGTATATTATATAACATTTTATTTCTTGAAAGAATAGTTTACCCAAAAATTACAATTTGCAGAAAATTTACTCACCCTCAGGTCATCCAAGATGTAGATGAGTGTATTTCTTTATCTGAACAGACTTGGAGAAATTTAACATCACTGCATCATCATTACATCACTTGCTAACTAACGGATCCTCTGCAGTGAATGGGTGCTGTCAGAATAAGAGTTCAAATAGTTGATAAAAACAATATAGTCTACAACATGACTCCAGTTCATCAATCAATATTTTGTGAAGTGAAAAACTGTTTGTAAGAAACAAATCCACTTTAAACCGTAAGTATTTTCTCCAAATCTGTTCCGATGAAGAAACTCACCTACATCTTGAATGTCCTAAGGCTATAATTTTCAGCAAATTTCCATTTTTGTGTGAACTATTCCTTTAAGAAAGTTAAATAATCTACACTTTAGCCAAATTAAAAACAATATTTTAGAAAATTTCCATTTCTGATGCCAATATGTTGATTTATGTTCATTTAAGTTCTTCATCATGCATGTTTCATGCTTTAAATGTATTTAAGGTTAATCTAATTGCTTGATTATTTGTGTCATCTACATTGAGGTGAATTTAGGTAAATTTGGACACTTTTTGCCATTTAGGTGACTGGGGAAAAATATCTCAATTATCCTGAATTATCCTTATATCCTCCTTACAGTCGTTTTTTAATTTGGTAGGACAATAAAATGGCTCACTCATTTAATGAAATTGTACAACATCATGACCAATACATTGATTAATATAATAAAACAGACAAGAAAAAACACTTACCTCTGGATAATTTGTCTACAAAAATGACAAAATGTGCAAAAAATAAAATTTGCATTTGAAAAAAAGGTCTGTTTGTCATCAGGAAAAGACCTCAGTGTGTGAGCTGGGGGAAATGGGCTGACCACAGGCATCTATCCAAACCCTCATTGTACAGTATTCAGACAAAGAGTCCCAATGTACAATGTCACAAAGATTTAAAAAATACAGTGGGATGCAACATCTCTGAATGTCCCTGAACAGTCAAACAAATTGTTCAAAAGAACCTGCTGGAATGGAGAAACAATGCTAATTCATGAGAGATTTTGTCCTATACCTGCTCTGAGCGTGTGAAAGCTAATGAAATTATTTTCTGCATGATAAATAGTTAAACACAATATGAAAATAAACTTTTAATCTGTACTGACCCATTACACTCATCTTTTTCTTATTGAATTATTGTCAGGTAACTCAGGCTTCCTAATGTTGAAATATATTATAAACGCAACACAAAATGTCATCCTTTGGGTAAAAACAAGCAAAACAACAGTCTTTTAATATAATAATAATTAAATCATGAAAATCATAATTAGAGCTTTGGTAAAAATTTAATTCTGTGAAATCTTTTGAATTAAGAATATAAATATGCTTTAAAATATAGTTTTCAAGTGCAATACAGCAATTCAAAATCATAGTAATAAAAGGTTGATAACTTTAAAGTTACAGTTGCATCTGCTGTGCTAAAGAATGAAAATATGTCATATGCAATTAAGCAAAATAAAATACTGCAAACAAACAAAAGACAGACAGATGCATTTTACAGTTAACATTTTGCACATCGTCAGTGTTTTCACTAGGCTACCTCACCATCTGCCCCCGACACACAATATCCAGAGTAAAACATAATTTGCACCGCCTCGACATCTGTCTTGGTTACTCCATATACATGGTCTTGTTGAGATATATAGTTGAGTATCATCAGCATAACAGTGGAAACAAATCCCGTATTTTCTAATAATATTACCAAGGGCTAACATGTATACTGAAAATAGCAGAGGACCTAGGACAGATCCTTGTGGCACTCCATATTTTACTGGTGATAATTCAAGTGCAGTTTCTGTGCTATGGTGGGGCCTGAAACCTGACTGAAATTCTTCATAGAGATCATTTTTTGCAGGAAGTAGCAGAATTGAGCAGACACAACTTTTCCTAAAATTTTAGACATAAACGGAAGATTTGAAATGGGTCTGTTGAAGTATTATACGCTGTAGAATCTACATTTGCTATTTTATTTCTGATATTATCTTTTTTATCAGTGAAGAAATTCATAAAGTCATTACTGTGAGGGAATATTTAGATCGGGTGGTGTCTGGTTATTTGTTAATATACATAATCTTAATATTTTGCATTTGGTCCTCTCACTTAAAGGTGCAATAGGAGATCTTGGAAAATGCTAACTTTAGCCTGATAGCACTGAAAGCGAACGTCCCACCCTCCCTGCAATCGCCGTCCAAAGCCACGCCCCCTGAACGCATTTACGCTCACAGACCAGAGACAACATTACTACAATAGGCTACATCAGGTTCCCAATTCCAGCCCATGTTCCTAAGTGAAGTAAAGTTCAACGGATTTCCCCCGCTCAGGGAGTAGGGAGCAATGAACACTGTGTAGGGATCATATCGATCGGAACACAGTTCATGCACGTAGCTCACTTCTAACGAGCTGGTGCGAGGACTAGATTAACCGCTGGGCTACATCATGTGTCATTCACCTGTGAGAAATCTTTAAATGTACTACAATACCAGGAAGGAAGATCGGGTTGTTGATGTTTGTCCGCCATCCTCGCTGTGTCTGCAAAGCATGCGTGAATGCGCTGATGACGTATCCTGTCTGCGCGAACTGGGTGCGCAGAGGTATGCTAATACATACGTTGACAGGCAGGTAGGAAAGCATATTAAAACGCTCGGACCGAGCGTTTTGATTGGACGAACATTTCTTGATCCTACGCCTTCCACAGAATATATAAATACAGACAAATACATTTAGACCACTTAACTTAATGATTGCTATCGGGATGTGAAGAGACTTTCAACCAGCATAACAAAAAATGTTTCTGAAGACAATCACCTATTGCACCTTTAATGCACACCAAGACTGGATGTCTGTTTACTTTATAATTTGTTGTACATGTGTATTTCTCTGTTTGTATGTTTATTATATGTTCTTATATATTTCACACACACACATATATGTTTAATATTTATTATTGTATTTTATATATATTGGCCGATTATAAATATATTGTCTTAGTTAATGCAACAGCTTTAACTTGATTAAAAACTATAAATAAATAAATCAAATAATAATAAATAAATAAGACGTTTTTAAAATAAATGTGTAATGTTTTTGCATTTTTCAATAATTTTACTTTACGTCAGTTGCTTATGTAGTAGCCTACATATTCATTTAAACAATTTCCTGTTTATTAATACTTTCGACATCTTTGAAATTCAGTTTCGATTTGTCGTGTTAAAAGTCGTTTAATGATATAATGCATAAAGGTTTGATAAAAAATAAAAGGTATCGTTGCTCTAAAATGTGTTTGTGAGTGCAGCGCTGTGATGGAGTGAGCTGGCAGAATCTCAGCAGCAGCAACGCGTATATCAGATGAAATGGTTTGGCCCTCGGGGTTACAGGAAGTTGTAGCAGCTGCCATGTTTAGCTGCTTTGTTGTAGATTTCTTGTAGGTTTCCTGCAGATTTTTTTAAGTGTGGCAATGGAGCCGAGCTGGAGTTCATTTTTATTTCAGGTAAGCCAGCCGTTCGAAATAAATCCCAACCGCGCGGGAAAAATAGAAAATCGATCGGGACTCTTAAAAACAGCGCGAAGCACGGAGATTTGAGCTTTAAAAGCGGGATTTTAAGGCAGTAAAAACAATGGCAGCTAAGCTAGCTCACATTAGCCGCTAATGCTGCATCTCTCCCAGACTTCCAGCTGTGAACTATGAGGGAGACGTACAAGGGATTTCTTTCCCTCTTTTTCCCCTTCTCCTTCTCATTCACACTCTTTTTACGTGCTTTTTGCCTTTTTTATTTTAAGTTAAACATTTTTAGCTGACAGCTTATTCCTTAGTTTTGTGTACTCATTGATTTTGTTATGACACAATTTGGATGTTTTGATCAGACGCAACGTCCATGTCTGCGTATGTAATAATAGAATACGATGATTATGTGCATTTTTGGCACAGTTTTTTAATACTTAATTTTTCTTTCCCAATCGATCTCCATGATTCTCCTTAATTTCCTGTTTATTTTTATTTGTTGTTAACGCAGCTCCTTACTTTTATTGGAGGGAACATGGGGATAATGGCTGTTTCAAGATCTTCTCAGCTGCCTACCTAGCCATCATAATCGAACAGAACGTGCATATGATGAAAGCAAAAATACTGTAGAGGGTCTCTACTGTAGAACACTACTATGATACCCCAAAATTCACTCTTATGGTACTCTAAAATCTCACAGAACGTTTGTTGTTTAAGTTTGAAAGCACCTCTTAAATTTGGACTTATTTTCTTACTCCAACCTTAAAAAGGTGTTTTGCAGTTTAACATTGCTGTATGGTCAGCCCATGCTCATGCTGCTGACGTCTATTAAGCTTATGCATGTAATGATTGATGTTATTAAAGCATGCATTGCATTGGTATGTGAAGTGCAAATGTAACTTTTGCACTGATGCATGAGGAATCTGTGCATGTTTGCACTGAAATTTGAATGCTTAGGTTATTGCAGTTATTGACAGCATGCAACTCTTTTTACCGTTGATCTGATATGAGTTTATACTTTAAACTTAACATAAAGGTAACAAATGTTGTTCACCCTTATGGCAAATTCCTAATGTTCCCCATTTGCTGAATGATTCAGTGCCATTTTGTAGAGATCGACCAATGTTATTTTTTACAATGATATTGATAATGATTGTATTTGTTTATGTGTCTCATAATTGATATGTGGAATCAATTTTTAATGCATTTCTGAATTTCTGATTTTTGACACAAATGATCAGACTATATTTATGCAAAGTTGTTTTTTGCAGTCTTCACTTCATTTAACCATTAAGATTAAAATGTTATGTGATTTTCAGTTAGAATCAGTACATGAAATAAGTAGGTTACTTACTTTACCTGTGAAAACTGTTGTTTCCTGTTGAATGCATTGGAATTACTAGGTGCTATTCTTTAGAGATCCACCGAATGATGTAATTTACCAGTGGAACCATTTGTGGAACATTTATGCATTTGGCAGATGCTTTTATACAAAGCCACTTGCATTGCATTCAAAGTACACATTTTTATCAGTTCTTGCTTTCCTTGGGAATTAAACCCAAGAACATGGTGTTGCTAGCACTATGCTCTACTGTTTGAGCTACAGGAAAGCTAAAAAACGGAGTAGAAAAGTATAAGTATTGTTTTAAAAAATGATCAAACCAATTATTAAATGTAGTCAAGATATGTATGTTAAGTTCTTAGTATTATTATGAGTATAAGAAAGTAGTGACTCAAATCTTTTTTTATTAACTTTTCTCTTGGGAGAGAAAACATTTGAAGCGCTCTACTGCTCTAGGCTTTGTTCCAGAAAAGTTTCCTAAGATGCATTTACTTGGAAATAGAAGCAGACAATGTCCAAAATGTTGTTGGGAGTTCTTCAGTGTGTGCTTCATCATCATCAACATCATCTTAACACTTATTTTTAATTGGACACATACTGAAACAATTTTGCAATCAGCTCCAACATCAGATTCAGCCTTTTCTGTGAGCATAGATTCATTGTTAGACGCTGTCTGAAACTTTCTTGACCACATTATGCATGTTTGTCTACTGAAGGATCCTTAGAAGTTTCTGCACGCTGCTTATCTTGCATGCACCATTCATAATCCATGTTTGATTTTGTGCAAGCTTTACCTCAAATGCTGATCTAGATATTGTCAGTAGCGATCAGAATTCACTGGCCATTTAAGAGATAAACAACACAATGTTTGTTTCCTAAAATATTCCTCAAAGTTCTTCTAAAATGCCTCCCTAATATGGCTCTAGCTATGAAATCTTTACACTGTAATAAACTTACATCCGTTTTAAAACCACAAAATCAGTGATTTATTAAAACTGGTGTAAAAAAAAAAAAAGTGCTCAATTGTTCTGCTTGATTCCACCCATGTGATGAAGCATCTAATGAGACGACGGTCTAGCGCGTCACTCCTCATTGTTCTGCAGGCGTCTGAGGTTATTCATGAGCGAGGCATTGTCCGACTCCCAACAGGCATCTCCTAATCTGTCTGCAGCAGACAATAATCTGATTCACTGGCTTCTGAATCTGATTCTCTTGTTCTTGCCTTTGGTTTTTTGACAGATTACATGAGCAGATATGTTGATTTTGATGTCACAGATGTTTAATTTTGGCATTGTTATTAAGCTGTTTTTCTCTTATTTCACCAACAGGAATGGCTGTAATAGGCTTAAACAGATTTAACTGTGCATCTGCTGTCTTCACCGATCACTGTTAAAGTTTTGAGGCTTGCGCAGCAGATCAGAGTGTGTCAGTTTTATATCATATTATAAATTCCAAGTCCATTTTCCACATTATGACTAGGCCTGTCACGATAACAACTTTTTGTTGTGCGATATATTGCCCCAGAAATAATTGCGATAAGCGATATTGTCATTTTAAAGACCATTTTATGCCACTGAATATATAATCATAATGTAACAGCATAATAATAC